TATATATATATATATATATATATATATATATATATATGTGTGTGTGTGTGTGTGTGTGTGTGTGTAATAGAATTATATGAAGAAGTCCCCTACTTATTTCACATTAATAAATTCAACTACAAATGTTAATAACAAAAAAGTGTTTCTGTTGGTTCTACAAAGGGTTAGTATTGTGTTTAATAGATTAAAGATCTACAGTCTAAACAGAAAGACACACACAGAGAACTGCAAAGCCTCAAATGTGCGTCTGCTGGCCACATCCATCAGGATTGTTTTGACAAAACAAGAGAAATGGGGAGGGAGAAAGATTCAGGAGAGGAGGGTCTTGGAAAAGAATGGATTCTCTGGAGACCAGCAGGGGGAGGAGAGAGGGAAAGAGTGAGAGGGGAGGGCTGATAACCACATCTGGAAGTTATTTGGAACAAGACAGGGAGGAAAATAGCTGATAGAAAAGAGAGAAAGTCAGAGAGAACCAGAAATTAGTAATTAGGGTTGAGGGAACACACTAACAAGCAAACAAATACTTTGACGTTGTTTGTTACATAAAAAAGAAAATATATTTTGGAACCTTAAGAGAAATCCGGGAGAGAAATGATAAGAGTCTGAAGGAATTAAACAACAAAGAATGAAAAGCTTATGAAGAATTCTGTAACCCACAAAACTGCGAGACCAATATTTCAGGTTTATCAGCCTTTATGTTTTTTTGCACCTTATGAGAGTCATTAACAACCAAAAGAACTGGAGGAATCACATCTGCAATGTGGATAATTTTGATCTATGAATAAATAAAGCAAGATCTCATGAACTTCATCAGTACGAAACAAAAAGACAATACAGGACGCTTTGGATTCAGGACAAAGTGAAAACTCAACTCTGTTCATAGAAACTCTTCATTTGCCAGTCAGTCACTTTTTCTGTCTCCATCTAAATCAAGGTAAAGTGACTATCTTTGCTTCATGTTTAATATAAATTTTGCAATATTAAAAATAAGGATTTGTGTACTGTTTATGAACCACTTGATCAGTGCTGAAGCAGACCAGAGAAATCAATGACAAATTGTATTCAATATTATGTTTTTATGGAAACCAGATATTATTAAAAAATAATTTAATAAAAAAAAAAGAGAGAGAAATGGTGTGTTATGCTTCAAGCTAATTTCTCTCTTTACTAAACATTTATAATCACAAGAAAACTAAATGTAGGATTAGGTTTCTGTGTTTTCATCTTTGGAACATAATTAAGATATTACTGATGAAATCCAAGAGCTTTCTAACCCTCCATAGACAGCAAAGGTCCTACCACGATCAAGGCACAGAAACATAATAAGGACATTGTTAAAATAGCCGATATGTAACATCAGTGGTTCAACCGTAATTTTATGAAAATACGAAAATACTTTTTGTGCGCCAAGAAAACAAAAATAATGACTTTAATCAACAATTTCTTCTCTTTGGGGTCAGTCCACAGCCATTCACGATATGTTTGTGGGGCTGCTGACATAGAACACGCATGCACTGCCTCTTGTTTACAAGAGGAACGCACATGCATGCTTCAAGTAACGAGTAATTAACGACAGAATTTTCTTTTTTGGGTGAACTATCCCTTTAATACTTACACAAGTACTTTGTTGCTCCATCTACGTATTGCCAACAAAGTCCAAACAGTAGGCTATCAACTGTTAGCGTCTCTGAACAACACGACAGTAGTGGCTTTCCTGAATGAGCACTGTGGATTGAATTATTGAATCATTCACTCGGCAAATCGATTCATTGACGTGCAAATCTGTTTGCAGAAAACAGCCAGGGAACGCCTCTTAGCCAAAAACTAAACTAAAGGGTGGAACTGTACACAACAACTTTAAGATTTCATCCCTGATTTACATTTGACTAAAGTCATAGCCAGTCTGCAGATTTTGGATATTAGAGTTGACAGTTTTCACAGAAATCATGTGTCTAGCTTAAGACTATAATTCTATCCAGGTTGATATTTTAGAACTCATATTGTTCCATTTGTCATTCATCTCCTGGCAACGAGGCACATGTTTCTGCTTAAGTTTATTGTGTTTGGAATGACTTGAAAGTCTGGTAAGGTGTGATGCTCACTCCTTTAGTGTATAATTGCAAAAAATTTAGCAAGTATATAGTGTTTTAAAATCTGTTCAGAATTTTAAAGTCATGTAATGTATTCCAGCCTTAACTGTTTAACATGTATAAAATATGCAAGCACATGCAATTAAGTAGCCTATTAGTCAATTAAAGTCTTTACAATTGTCCCTCAGAACAACCTAAACTGCTTTACACTGATGGGAAGTGACTTCTCTGAACATGATGATGATGCACCGTTATTTTTCTTTACCTGTGCTTGTTTGTGCAGTTGGGAGGATGTGGTTTATTTGGTGTTGGGGTGTGGCTCGGCTTTACACAGTCAGAGTTTTCATCTCTACCACTGTCCTTCCCTTCACTCTCCGCGGCCAACCTACTGCTTGTTGCTGGAGGCGTCACCATGGTAACAGGGTTCCTCGGATGCCTTGGTGCTCTGAAAGAGCAGAAGTGTCTATTGATGACGGTGAGATACCTGGATCCTTACTGACATCAGTAAAACAGATGTGTGCAAAAATGCCCAGAGGACGACGTTCATTCAAGTATCATCTTCATCTCAGATGTTTCTGATTTCTGAAGGATCAGGTGACATTGAAGACTAGAGTTAAGAAACAAAAACCAGCTTTGCCATCACAGGAATAAATTACATTTGAAAATATATGGAAATAGAAAATAGTATTTTCAACTGTGATAATATTTTATCATTTTATTGTTTTTACTGTATTTTTGATCAATTAATGCAGCCTTCCGGAGCATAAAAGACTTCTTTCAAAAGCCATTAAAAATCTTACCGACCACAAACCTTTAGTATGTTTATGTGATATACAATGTGCATAGTTAAACAATTGAAATTTCATGTCGATCTATTTATTTATTTTGTATATAAAGATGTTCATTCAAGTATCATCTTTATCTCTGGTGTTTCTCCTAAGAGGACATATAAAAACAAATGAGAGGCAGTTATATAGTAAATTGGTGTCTATAGCACAGTTGAGATACTTTGGACTAGTGTAGTTGATAAGAAATATTTGATCTCGTATTTTAATTGAAGAATGTCATTGATCTTGACAAATCTGAGCCCAAAATGATACGTTGTTGAGATCTCTTCTGAGGAGACATATGTGAGCAAACTAGGGCCTTTTTTTCAGGAGAACAATCTTAGAAACAGAAGCAAAAGTTTCTAAATGCTCTGTGTTTAATCTCATTGCTGCCTAAGAGAAACAACTGAGATATTAAAAAGATTTCATTTGTGATTTTTCTTTGCTAAATGGGCATACTGTCAGAATACACCATGTCTGTTTATTTTAAATATATACTATTGTCATTCATGTGGTCTAATATTTCTTTCTGGTCTTTCAGTTTTTTGTGATCCTCTTGTTTCTAGTCCTGACAGAAGTGGCACTGACTTTGGTTTTGAGTGTGTATCATGAAGAGGTGAGGGACTAACGGCTGAGCCTTGCAAATATTTCAGCCTTTCCTTTCAGGAAAACGCTTTGCCTTCAACTTCCTGTTTATCCGCTTCTCTCTCTGTTTTACCCATTTAGTTGGACAAGAAAGCCAAGGATGACCTAAGAGAGGGAATGAAAGACTATCTCACAAATGAGGGGCTAAAAAAATCCTGGGACAACATGCAGAGAATTGTGAGTTGAATTTACAACAGTCACAAATATGAAGGTTGAGATTCTTCAGCGTGAATCGTGGATTCTGTTTCCTTCAGTTCAAGTGCTGTGGTGTGAGCAACCACACTGACTGGCACAACAAAACGTCCAGTGGCAAACCTCCTGAATCCTGCTGCAGAGATAATACTGAACGCTGCCATCACTGGGAAGAGGTCAGATCATTTCTGAGGTCACAGGGTCAGCTAAGTACCACACATTCCTAAATCCCACCAACTATTGCTAATTGCAACCATATGCTCAACGTAAAATGAAAGCAAGAACAAACCCTACATACATCTGGTAATGCTCTTTGTTATACGTCTCCTTGAAATACTTGATTCGTTCCAAATCAGCATATTAGAATGACTTTTGAAGGATTATGTTACACTGAAGACTGAAGTAACGGCTGCTGAAAATTCAGGAATAATTCATAAATAATTAATAATAAGCAAAGATAATGTACTTCCATCCAATATTTATTGCAAAATAAACTGTTTTAGTGTGATAAGAGTGTGATTGTCATGTCAGAATTTATTTTGTCATAATGACCAGCTGACTGAACCTGATTACTCTTAATTTTATGTTTTAGCCGTGCTATGAGAAGGCCAAAGACTGGCTTTTGGCTAACATCACCTCAGTGCTTGGGTTTGGAGTTTGCATTGGAATCGTTCAGGTACTTTGAAACTCATGTTTCTCATAGAGTCTGATTATTATACAATTGCTGCATGCACTCAGATATAATGCGACTGCATTTTCTCCCTCCAGATTCTTGCTTTGGTGTTCTCCATGCTGATGTACTGCCAAATCCTACATGTAGAAAAATACATGGACTGACCCTACCTTCGCCCCATTGTGCCAGGGGCTCTTTAAAACATAATTCCCAATATGTAATAAATGTTTAAATGGGCTTGCCTATTAGAGATACTGGACGTGATATGCATGTGCACATAAATTATGCAGTTGCACTTAGGAAGAAGCTCAGATGAATTTCAGATAAATGAATTGACCAGGTAAATGCCTAAATAATTCATCTGTGCTTAAGAAAAGATGCTTAAATGAAGATAAAGTGAATGTATACAGCAGGTGGAAAAGTAAATCCTAGTATCATTGCACTCTTTGTTAAATACCCTTATAACGGCTTGCAATGAACTTGTGATCAAAAGTAAAAAAAAAATTAAATGGAAATCTGATGATTTGTTATACTAAACTAATTGTACTGTACTATATTAATGTCCGTTAAGGTCATTACAACTAAATAAGGATGCAATACAACAGTAGATGATTGAAATAATGTATTTTGGTATAAAAGTCACATACATTTTTTTTCAAAACATCCAAATGACAAGAAAATAAATACATCAGCACAAAAACCATATAATCAAGTAGTGTCAATTGCCCAGTTGGCTGGTTCTTGTTCTTCCTTTCCTCACAGAGGTCATGCTACATGATCCAGAGTTCATAATGAACAGAGGTCAATCACACTCCAGAACCTCATCCAAATGTGCAATGTTCCTCTGTGAATGAAAACCCCCAAAAAACAGTTTACTTAACAAATACAAAACACAGAATATCCTAAAGACTGAGGAAAATGCTAAAGGTAGACTGCTCACCCATCCTCCGTGACTCCTCACCCATGGTGCAAAGCTCTCCATGTAGCGCTCAGCATACCCTGTCAGACGCTGAACTCCAGTGGCCGTGACCACTCGTCGAGACACATCCATGGTGATGGCGAGACGCCGCAGCGTAGGGCTGACCGGAGCCAGACCCGGAGCCGGAGCCGGAGCCGGAGCCGGAGCGGGGGGCTCTTCACTCTGACTGGCATACGTGTCAAGGAGTTTGGCAAAGGATGGGTAGGAGAGGCGTGTGAGGGTGGACCGCAGGAAGGGGTTGACGTTTATCTACAACATTAGCAATGATAAACACAAAGTAATTAACTAAAAATAACCATGAACAATCAAAACACTGCTTATGTCAGAAAATCTTTATGATAAGAAGCCAAGATTACTCTATATCTCAGTAAGACTGGCAAACTTAGGGATCACTACCTTCTCGTTTATGGCATCCCCCTCAGAAGTTAATATCTGAACTAGTTGTTGAACCACAGCCTCTTTGCTATTGTCTACAATGAAAAGAAGAAGTGTAACATAATAGCCAAACAATACAAGTCAAAAAACATCACCTGTACCATCAACCCATTATAACAATAAGCTATTGTTAAAGGACTGAACATGAATTTCTGTACCTAAGACAACAGGTCTGTTTAGTATTCAACTTCTCTTGCTTTGGTACTGACTGACAATGCATCTACTGCACACATTAAGATCAAATTGAAAACCAACAGGTCATAAACAAGCCTGGTTTATGGTTTTACATGTACCTTTGAGTGTACTTGGCACAGGCTCTGGTTTAACAGGGGATTTCTTTTTCACACTGTGTTTCTGTGCGATTCTGTCCAGAGTTTCTGCCACACCGTCATAAAACTCAGGTGGATGAGCTGAGATAAAACATATCACATCATATCACATGCAGAGTCCATACACACACAATCATTCTAACCTTTGGAGTCATTAACGTTTGGAAATTTCTATTTAGCAAAGTATCATGAAAACCCCCCCGCCAGTTTTGCATTTATAATATTAAGAAATGTGTCTTGAGCAGCAAATCAGTATATTAAAATGATTTCAGAAGGATCATGTGACACTGAAGACTGTAGACATTTCTGCTTTACAATCACAGGAATAAATTACTTTTTAAAATATAGTCAAATAGAAAACAGTTACTTTATGCTCTAATAACATTTCACAATATTGCTGTTTTTACTGTATTTTGAATCAAATAAATGCAGCCTTGGTGAGCATAAGAGACTTCTTTCAAAAAACAGTATAAGACCAAACTAAAACATTCTTAACAGTGCCTCCTGTGTCTCAACTTCTATATCCATAAAACAAGTTAAAGAAATTCTTTTACATCTGAAACTTACATGGTGAAACAGGATGATCCTCAGGTTGTGAAACATCAGTAGCACCTTTGAAAGGCAAAGAGGCTGGGCGCTGAGGACGAGGCTCTTCTCTTTTGAATGACACTTTTTTGAATATATCAGATATTTTCAGTTTTTTCTTCTTTTTCTTGTCCCCTGATTTTTTGTTACCTTCCTCTTCAGATGCAGAGGATGGTGTGAATATCTCTTCCTAAAAGAAAATGTCTCATTAATAAGTAGTTCTGAACAGCAATGTTAATGCACGTACTGTTAAGAAAAAAGCTAAAAATGAATGCTGAGATTGCTGAGAATGCAGCTCCTTAGCTGGTCAGTAAATTTGCAATACAGAACCCGTAAAAGTTTTGAATTAGCTTTGAAGTTCATGCACCAGATGAAACAAGAGCCAGTTTTGGCCTCTACAGATATAGTCAACAGTGTTTGCTTGTTTCACACTGCATGTTAGGCAATGCTTATTTATTTTGGTGCCCATATTAAGAGGTTACACACTACCAGCATGAGCACAAGCCGAAGTGTAAAGCTGAAAGTGTAGGAGCCTACCATTCATTTTAAAAATGCACTTTTAAGGTTTTGAATTGATTATCAAATTAATTTGCAATGCAAGTTTTTCTGAAGCTACATAAAATGAGCAAATTACATATTATTTGACAAAAACACTCACTGTTGCTTTGTATTATAAAAAAAGGCCTTAGGTTTGCGATTTTACCTCTGTTTTTCTGGGTAAACTGTGTGTTCCATTTGTTGATGGCTTGTCAGACTGGCCCGGCTGACTCCGCTTCTCCAGGGTGTTGTTTGGAGTCGGGTCAGAACTGCCGTCTTTCTTAGCACGGCGGATCATAGATGAACGGGATCTCAGTCTTCTTTTTATTAGATTTTTAATTCCATGTTTCTTTTCCTCTGCGGCACTGATCTCATCATCCAAGGAGTCCCATCCATTTGCATCTTTCTTTATTTTGTCTTTTTTTGAGGCACTAAAAAGAGAAAGATGGGTAATACTTTTCATTCAACTTTTTTGAAGAGGTACATTTTCTTTTAAAGGATAGTTCACCCAGTAACTAAAATTCTGTCATCATTTACTCACCCTCAAGTTGTTCCAAACCTGCATGAGTTTGTAGTCCCCATTGACTTCCAAAGTATTTTTTCATACTATGGATGTAAATGAGGACCAGCAACCTTTTGGTTACCAGCATTCTTCAAAATATCTTCTTTTGTGTTCAGTACAAGTTTAGAACAACTTGAGGGAGAATTATTTATGACACAATTGTCATTTTTTGGGTAAATTACCCCAATTTGCATGCTTATATATTTAAGGATAACAGAATCGCTGTGGTCCAAGATTAGATGACTTGACCACTAAAAGTTCCCCTGGACTACTGAATAAATGAAGTTAGTATCCTTGAGAAACTGTCACAGTAGTGAGGTTAGCAACAGTTTATATATTCAAATCATCATTAATGCTTGACAGATGAAAAAAATTATTCATCTGGCACTATTCCAGCTTCCACTATTCTTTTGAAAATAGGATAAAATCAAATAAAATATATTGTGAATAATTTAAAAGGAATTCAAAGCCAAAAAACAATTAACCCCTTAAGTGCCACCCCCCATTTTTGAACAGACGTGAAAGTGCACTATCCAAACTTAAATTATTATAATTCATGAAAACTTTGGAATACAGACCTAAGGTTGGACTCCTTTTTAAGAAGATAATCTGCAGATTACTGCAGAAGTGGAATCAAAAAGTTATAGAAGTCTACTGTAAAGAAAATGCACTGTACCAATTTTTATTTTATATAAAGTAAATATTTTACAAAATATTTTTGAATCCAAAATTTATATAAAATTTAAGCTTTATGTCTAAATAAGTTATGTTCCAAATATGAGGTTGATATAAAAAAATTGAGGTTCCTGTGAGATTTAATTTAGCTAGGGCGTTATACCACAAACAGCCACCGGGTGCCATCCAAACTCTGTAGAATTTTTGTTGATGCATTTTTCTGTCACAAATGTCTAAATTTCTCTGTCAATATTACTTCTATCAAAAAATCTTGGAATGGAATCTCGAGATTCAGACCTTTCTAAATATATGTATTTTGTCAAGATTATAAAAACTTTTGATTCTAAAAGACCGTAATACATTTTGTAATATGACACTTGACTCCACCCACTAAGGGGAGGAGACCACTAAAAGAATTTAAAGTACCATTTCCATGGTAAAGCAATGTCCGATTTAAAAATGGTTTTCACAGGATGAATTCTGAGGTTTTAAGCTTTTAAATAATATATAATTTATGATGATTACTAAAATATGTGATAGAGAAAAAAGGAAGAGTCCAAAAAATACACTTCAGAGACAGGTCATATAGATTATAATAATAATTATTATTATAATCTCTGGTGTTTGCTTATAACAAGTATATGTAGCGTCTGCGTAGAATCATGCATGATCTTTGGGTTTTATGGCTTAAGAGACCCTTTTAGCTTTTGACATTTGCATATAAATTACAGTCCTGGTCACAGAAGTTACACTTATATGGGTGCTAAATGTCAAATGCCCCCCCCTATCAGGGAGATGCTAACCAGTTTCACCACCCTCGCCTCATTTGGAGTTTCAAACACATTCCAAAGAGACGGAAATGACCCCCGGGGCCAGGCACAATGGGCCTGGCTGACCAAGCAAACTAACACACACACACACACACACACACACACACACA